GGAAGTGTGGCAAAGGTGTGGGGTAAGTGTGGCAGAGGTCTGGGGGAGGTGTTGGGTAAGTGTGGCAGTAGCACTGGCTAGCACCCGGGAGTCTAGACATTATTTGCACAGTGTGGTCTCCACTTTCATGGCGCTGCCATCTCCCAAGTTTAAGGTATGTGTTGCCCCTCGGCATGTTCAACCTCCACGCACAGGCGTAAGTTAGTGCTTTCAGTGATTTCATTGTATGGACTGATTGTTTCTTTTATTTTCCGAGACTTGGTGGCCACCCACCCAGCACGTAGTCCAGCAGTGAATGCATCTTGGAGACAACAATTCTGCCTTGAGTCTTGCACTCTTGACGAAGATCTGGTCTGAAAATGTCTGAAGTATACACTCAACTAGAGGAGAAACACATCCTCCTTTTCCGGTCTAGATTCTAGACTGCTTAGGACAATTTCCGCCATATCTGGCTGCCTCCGACCTCTTCAACTTAGGACTCCAACCGTAACACCGCTCAACGCCAGGTGCGATTCGCAGCTGGCTCTCCCTGGAAGGGATGCAATCTTCAACATCCTTTTGGTGATGAACATCCGATCCAAACTGAAATCACGTTTGACCATGAATGAGCAGGAAACCAACACAGAACAGCAACTTGCCACCACATACAACTTCGTAAAAGGGAAAGAATGAACTGCCTGAAAACCCCAAGTCCACGTGTTTCCCATATCTTCCCAATGTTTTGCCCAGTATCTCCTTCCTCCCTTTCTTTCAGTGCCCGCTTCAGGTGAACAAGGTCTTCTTCCAGCTGATGGCAGGTCTCTTCCCACTCCGCCGCCGTCGCGGAGACGGCGCCGTCACTGGAGGCGCGGGAACCCGCCGTGGCCGCGCGTTCCGCCGCGGCCGCTTTGAGCCTCGAACGGCGCCACTTGGAAGCGGAATATCATCCTTCTGAGAGAACGCACCACCAAAAATGGCCGTTCTCAAGCGCACAGAACCAATGGATTCAATGCGGCTTTCCAAGCACACTCATGCTGACTCATGCCACCGGGGAGCTGTGCATTCTCATCCTCCAACCTCTTGCAATCGCCTTCTAGCTGGTGGCATCTCATTCGCAACTTTGTGAGCTCTCGTCGTGCATCCGGCGCGCGCGGCGAGTGCACATGGGCCGGTGGCGCTGGCGGAGCAAACCCGAAGGCCTGCGAGTGAAGAAGTGTCAGGTGAACTCGTGCTGGAAAAAAAAACCGGCATCTTTGCATATTAAACTAAGTTTCAGCAAAGCACACTCGCTCACTCGCTCACTCAAGCATAAGCACAACACGCACACTCGGCACAACCAAGGACCGTTTTAGATTTCAGTCCCAGCCACATTGGGCCACTGGCATGGGTACACCGGTGAGCATGGTGCAGCCCACGGCACCCTGCATGACCCGGACAGCCCTGCCGTCGCGGCCGCCGTGGGCGGCGTCGCGGGGGCCGCCGCCGCACGGATGCGCGCAGTGGTGGCGGCCGCGGCAGCCATGGCCACCTTGAAAGCCAAGAGTGGCAAGAAGCAACGAACGTAACAAAGGGCATCGCTACGAACGGAGCAAGGACGCTACGAACGGGGCTCCTGGCCGAACGAACGGGGTAACGAAAATTAATATGAATCAAGAATTCATTCCTCCTCGGCCTGGCCGGGTGGCCGGAAAATGCGCTAGTCCGAACATGCCGAGAACCCAAGTGAACTCATTGACATTTGGGTGTTACCCTGGCTGGAAGTGAAAGCTGCCACTGCTACCTGCCGTGCTGCTGCTGCAAGTGTAATGAAAAAGAACCGCCAACACTGAATCAATCCCTCTCTTTTTTTGTCCTCGTCCACTGCCAGCATTCCATTCCTGCAAAAGTTGGGCCTCCTGTGTCCTCATGTCATCTTACCCACCTGGCTCACCGTCCTTCATCCTCCTTCCACCTTCCTCCTTCCGCCTGCTCCTTCCTCCTTCCGGCATCCAAGCTCGCAGGGCGCCTCCTCCAAAGTCTTCACCGCGCCCGGGTGCGCCCAGCTCCGTTCTCCCAGACCTTCGGTCTCCAGGTGCGCCGCGCCCGTGAAGCCGGGCCGCTCCCGCATGGTGCCGGCAGGAGGTGTGTGGCTCGAATGGTGTGTGGTGAAGTCGAGTGGGGTGGAACAAACCTGGGGCAGGTTCTGTGAAGTGTGAGGTAAAGGGGCAGGTAAACTGGTAAACTACCATCTTTCTGCCAACTTGGAATGTGTGGTAAATGTCCAGTTGATGTGAGGTTGATTCTTTGGCATTTGTTCGTGTTTGCTGAATCATTGTGAGGCGGTGGACTGCTTTCATATAGCCACAAGGGCCAACATGTTGATTCACCGCTCGACGGATGTGCTGTTTGGAGAAGCACTCACTGCACGCAGCCAGCTCTTGAGCAATGCAGCCAGCAGGTCAAGCACTAAAGGAACAGAATCTATAACTCCTTAACCTGATCAGTTGACACCGAGAACCAGGAGAACCATGCTGGTTGCTGAACCAGACTGTCCACATGAGCAAAAACAACCCATTTCTTTGTTTAGGGTCAGCATGAATCATTGAATCATCTTGGAAAACATATTCCACCACAGCAGGTTGAGCGAACGCTCTTAGTAAAGAAAAATACCACAGTGGGCGACTACTTCTAGGCTGAGAACCAATCAGCTATGTGGACTGGATTTGGGAGTCCAGCACCTCTCTGCTACAAGCCCGAAGCTGGAGGCCATCGAAATCGCTTCACTGAATCTCTATATAATCACTAGTCCGCAAGAAAATTCCTCAGGACTCATAGGTCAGAATGTGAATGCAGCACTTGGGTGGTGTTCGGCAGAAAGGGGGGGAGTCGGGGAGCCTGTCCTTCTAGCATAGGACGGTTCTGCGGTTGTTCACTCACCCGCGAGTGGCTGTTGGTGGCCGTGTTTTCCTCCCACCTGCGCGCTGGACGGGATCGCCGCTGGAGACGGTGCCTCGCGGCTTCCCCAGCTGAGGATCGGCATTTTCGACTTGATTCGAAACAAAGGACCTTATATGATACTACTTGCCTCACTGCGATAAGATCTTCACCATTCCAAGAAGAGTAACAAAACATGGCCCTGGCCGACTTCGTCACCTTCTTCTCACCTTCCATCAGCTCTCACCCCATCTCACCCCGACTTGGTCACCATGGCTCACCCCTCCACCCAGGCGGCTCGCCGGTGTCGGTGTGGTAGACATCGCTCGGTCGATGTGATGAAGGCTCGTGAGGAGCCACCTGCCGGCTCGGGCTCCCAGGGCATCCAAGCGTTAGGGTATATGCCATGGCCTTATCCCAGGGGCAGGCTCTATAAGATCTCCAAGATGTTGACATCAAGAAGTGAACTGCACCAGTGAAGTGAACTGAACTCTGAGAAGATCGAAGGAGACATCTTTCGATGTATAGCATTTCAAGTCGCAAAGGCCCAAGATCTACCGGGAAGAAGGTCTATCACTGGAAGGTCCAAGAAGGTCTATCCAAAAGACTATCACTGGAAATGATTGTGCATCCGCTGATGGTGCAGTTGGCTCTGGTGCTCTCGCATTTCGGCGCCAGGAGGACTGGCGATTCGCTCTTTTGGGGGGGCCACACAATGCGGATGTTTTCTTCCTTTGGCGGGTTTGGGGCTGGTGGCCAAGCTATTTGAATCTCAAGGGCTAGCTGCTAGCTTACTAAGGTCCTTTTGACCGAGTGTGGCCGACACTCAAAAAGCACTCGACACCTAAATCCAACTTGAAAAAACAAGATGGAGCCCACGAACCCGAATGCAAACACGTTCAAAAAGCTACATATGTCCAAATGACACTCTTGTAGGACACTCTTGTGGGACACTCTTGTGGGTCACTCTTGTGAGACACTCTTGTGGGACACTCTTGTGGGACACTCTTGTGGGACACTCTTGTGGGACACTCTTGTGGGGCACTCTTGTGGGACACTCTTGTAGGACACTGTTGCGGGACACTCTTGTGGGACAGTCTTAAGGGACACTCTTGCCAGACACTCTTGCGGGACACTGTTGCGGTACACTCTTGTGGGACACTCCTGTGGGACATTCATTTGGGACACTCTTGTGGGACACTCTTGTGGGACACTCTTGTGGGACACTCTTGTAGGACACTCTTGTGGGACACTCTTGTAGGGCACTCTTGTGGGACACTCTTGTGGGACACTCTTGTAGGAAACTCTTGTGGGACACTCTTGTGGGACACTCCTGTAGGACACTCTTGTGGGATACTCTTGTGGGACGCTCTTGTGGGACACACTCTTGTGGGACACACTCTTGTGGGTGCGGGACACTCCTGTGGGACACTCATGTGGGACACTCTTGCGGGACACTCTTGTGGGACACTCTTGTAGGACACTCTTGTGGGACACTCTTGTGGGACACTCTTATAGGACACTCTTGTAGGAAGCCCTTGTGGAATACTTTTGTAGGACACTCTTGTGGGACACTCTTGTAGGGCACTCTTGTGGGACACTCTTGTGGCACACTCTTATATGGACACTCTTAACTCTTGTGAGACACTCTTGTGGGACATGGTTGCGGGACACTCTTGCGGGACACTCTTGTGAGACACTCTTACGGGACACTCTTGTAGGACACTCTTGTGGGACACTCTTGTAGGACACTCTTGTGGGACACTCTTACGAGACACTCTTGTTGCACACTCTTGTAGGACACTCTTGTGGGTCACTCTTATGGGACACTCTTGTCGGACACTCTTGTGGGACACACTTGTGGGACACTCTTGTAGGACACTCTTGTGGGACACTCTTGTGGGACACTCTTGTAGGACACTGTTGTGGGACATGCGGGACACTCTTGTGGGACACTCTTGTGGGACACTCATACGGGACACTCTTGTGGGACACTCTTGTGGGATACTCTTGTAGGACACTCTTGTGGGACACTCTTGTAGGACACTCTTGTGGGACACTCCTGTAGGGCACACTCTTCGTACGAGACTTCCTCCAAAAGTCACGCTGCGAGGCTGCAAGACGAGCGTTTCGTACGAGACTTCCTCCAAAAGTCACGCGTCAAGTCTCAAAAACAAGCGTTTCGTACGAGACTTCCTCCAAAAGTCACGCTGCGAGGCTGCAAGACGAGCGTTTCGTACGAGGCTTCCTCCAAAAGCCACGCGTCAAGTCTCAAAAACGAGCGTTTCGCACGAGACTTCCTCCAAAAGTCCAGCGGAAACACCCATCGGAGCACACACATCACGCAGCCCTCCACGCGATTGCAGCCCCTCCAAACGACACCCGCTCACACGCCAATCCCAATGTGACAGCGACATTCACCTCTACCACAACTCACAACCTCCCGATTCCCTGCGCCTGCCACGAATCTTTCCGCGTCCACACGTCTAACGCGCACAAAGTACTGCGCCTGCCACGAAATGTCACCTCCGTCACACATCGCAACCTCACGATTCCCTGCGCCTGCCACGAAAATCCCACTTCCACACCTCAAAACCTGCACAAAGTCCTGCGCCTGCCACGAAAAGTAACAATGTCATCTCATGTGAGCTTCAACAAAATTTGCACCACACCACACGTTTGGAATGATTTCGACCCGTTCTGCTCCACCAAAATCGGCATTTCAGCTGAGACTTGTCACGAAAACAGCGCTTCGATGCCACACCCTGAAACGCAAATCCCAATGGCACGGCCACATCCAACACCCCAAAAACACGACTCTCCAAACGCTAATCCCAATGGAACTACGCAGCAATCTGCAGATCTCACAAAACGCTGCGCCTGCGCAGCGAAACACATCACGTGTCTTGCGCCACATCTCATTCTCATGCAAATCACAATGGAATAGCGGCGCAAACTGACACGTGACACATCCATGAAAAGTCACTTGCAAAAGCTTCCCCCAATGGCAGCGCCTTACCGACCTACTACTGCGGACGGTTGCGGACGGTTGCGAACGGTTGCGGACGGTTGCGAACATAGAAGCAACGGGTCGCGAACAAGGCTCTACCCCCAGACCCCCAAGAGTTAAATGAGAACCCTTCGCTACGCATTCGGGAACAAGAACCTGATCCTTCTGGATCTTCCAATGAATTACCCCTGATGTTCCATTCCCAGTTCTGTTCCCTTACACGACCGGAATCCCAAAAAACACAAAGAAAAGCAACACATCCATCGAAACACGCCAAAGGTCCGAGACAACTGACACCTCCACTGGCCGCTCCACCCGCCCCACTCTTCACCCGTCCCGCTCTTCACCCGCCCCGCTCCACCCGCCTCAAGCTGTTCGGATGGGACTCTCGAAGCTTCTCATGCCCCGCCTGTGATGCGAGCGAGCTCGGGGCGCGCACCTCTGCCTTAAGCGCTTTGTGCGCCCCGCGCGCGCGTCCTTGAGGTCTGAACATGACATGCCTGAAAGCGTCCAAAGAAATAGTAGGGAACGGTTTGAGGATTCGGGGTCTTGATCTGGAGTTCAGTAGAATTGTATAAAATGATGTCCAAATTCCAAATCTTTCATCACAACTTCGGTTGGTCATTGCATATGTGTCCATCTATGCCCATCTGTATACATGGACCATTGTGTCTGGGTGTCCAAAGGCGGAGATCTTTATATAGGTAGTGTTAACACCCACATCCAATGGTCCTGGTAGACCATTACGCGACTGAAGCCACCAATCGTTCCACAGCAAAAAGTCTTCAAGAGGCCTTTTGTTGGCTTTTTCTCCCCCAGCCCCGGGAGGGTTCTACTCATGCTGGGGCTAAGGCGTTTCCCAAAGGCTCTCTATGTAGATCAACGAGGATGACTTTTACTTTATGGGGGCTCTTTCCATAGGACTCTGCAGAAAAACCGGCAACGAGTGAGTCCAACCTCGACATAGCCTATAGACTAGCCAAATGTTGTGAAAACATATGCTTTTTATCGCTTTTCCATGATTTTCTCCCATGTCCCGTTCGCACTTGCCAAGCCAATCGGAAGGCGCGGAAACCGAGAGACACGCCAATCCAAGCGCGTCCGGTCCAAACAAACCTTGGAAGTGTCTTATACCGCCAGCTGGTCCAGTTGCAAACGGATCTGCATCACTGGGCCCACTTGAATATGCCACCATGATTTTTTCTCACCCCCCAAAAAAGGCATGCCGCCCAGCAAGCGCAGACTTGTTAGGACCCCTCACTTGTAGAAACGGCCAAGCTCAGTGGTTTCAGGGGTCCACCAAAGGCCCCAGGGCGCCCACCCCCCTTCCGCCCGCAGTCGCCTTCTGGAAGGGTGCGGACAGAGAGCAGGCCTCAACTCTCCACTGGGCCGTGTTGGACGGCATCTCTCGGCGACTCTCGAGATGGGGCGATGCAGAATGGTGAGCAATCCTTTTTTGGACTCATGACTCCAAGCCATGGTGACAAGTGTCACCGAAGTGCACACGATGACTCGAAAAAGTCCGGACGCTGAATCCGTTTGTGTCCGGACGCTGAGGGTCCGGGCTAAGGAGATATCAGCCACTGTGAGCCTTTGGCCTCAACACCCATGAAACTGCTCTGCTCAGTCGATCCATGAAACTGAGTCAAGCTGAGCAGTTTGATTTTGGCCATCGCGACAACACGGAGCAAATATGAATCATAAGTGATGAGTTTTCCCAGGATGGATTAAACCATATGAAACTATTTGAAACCATGGCCCAACATATTTGTTTGTTTTTTCGATGTTTTTTGAAAGAGTCGGTCAAACAATGTCGCGTCACTGTCGCGTCGCGGCTCCCTATTGGTTTTAGGATGCTTTAGGGGCTTTCAGAATCATACTTGATCAAATCTCATCATCCGAGACCCAGAAATCGCCTCGATCTGCGGACGGTTTTTCACCGGATCAGGCGGCAGCGAGAGTTCCAACCCCTCAGGGGGGGTCGGGGCACTGTGAGAATGAAGCACCACGACGTCAGAACGTCGAAGCACTGCGGTTGGAAACAAACGAAGCCTCCACTCCAGGACGCGAGGACTGCGGTGCTAGTATTGCGAGCACGATGAACCATCAGGTCAAAGAAACCATCAGGGCCAAGACTGGGTTCTTTCATGGAATTCCAGAAGCCACTCTGAAGCTGCGTTGCTTTTCCAACCTCACCACATGTCCTATAGGGCCTAGATGGGAGGGTGACGGGCCTTGGGGGGGGAGCCATCTGTCGGCATGGCGTCATACAGCCTCGGAGTGAGTCGATTTGCGACCTGGAGGCGGAGTCGCGGCCACGGAATTCGTGGGCCTCTGGGCTTCATTGGTGAATTCCCGCTCCGAAGCCATGGACATCGTGGACTGCCACAGGCGATGTACCCATGGGAGCGCTTGGATGAAACAAACGACGGATTGCGGTTGGTCAGTCTAAAAAATGACCATCAAGCACCTGATGAACTTGGTCTTTTTCTTTACTTCTGCCAATCGGATCGTTTGAGCTGCAATGGATTGACCCGGTCCATGGACGGAGTTTTTTTGCATGCAACGAACTACCGATTACGCGCTTTCGCGTCAGGGAGAGCTTGGGAGATCAAGTCTTCTAGCACACTCTCACTTCAGAATTAGCTCGGGCATTTGTATCACAATCCACCAGTTTTGGGGGAATAGCGATGATTTGTGCACTGCGAGTGACCATGAGTTACCTATGAAATTGGTAAGACAACACAGCAACTCCATATACATCTTGCAAAGGCATCGGTGGGAACCATTTCATGAAAGTGGAGTTAGCAGGTATATATGGACCAATTGCCAGACTAAAGGCCACTGCTTTGGACCCACAAACTCCAAACAAACGTACTGGGATGTACTGAGGACGTGGTTTACAGGAGTCGATTGATACATCAAACATGATCACCAATTGCCCTGGTCCCTGGTCCAACGAGTGGAAGGACCTTCCAGGTAGGTCCCGTCCGACCCCCGACAGCCTGAATATCAAATCACATTGCCACAGTACCCCGGTACCCTCACAAAAAAGGAAAGCCCCCCGATCTGCTCATGCTTCTTCGGCCTTTCTCGAACCACGGCGAAAACCATCAATCTCCTTCACTCCCAAATCGAAACGCCATCTCCGCCCAGGAGATCTCACAAGCACCCCCTGGGGCGGATAAAGGCCCGTGGGGTCGGGTAACTGGGCGTTGAGCGCACCACGCGGGTCGCGGAGCCAAAGGGACAAAAACACAGAGAAAGAGAACACATGGCATTGGATCGAAGATGATCGAAGTCATGGGAGGAAGTTAAACACGAAAAGGACAATGCTCAGCCCTTTGACATTTGAGACATCATATGAATCCCGTCGCTTCAGGAACCGACCGATTGACATGCCTGTTTTTGAAGCAGGTGGTTTTGAACCTACCAACAGCCCAAAAACTGCAATTGCCGGGTTCAATATTTGAGGCTGCCGTCATTCCACTGATCCTTGGCCATCTGCTTTCAGTGAGTGATGGTGGCTCCATACTGAGACGAGGGCACCTCAACCATCCGGATGGTGTTCCACCTCGACCATCGAAATCCGATCGAAATCCGATTCCAAATGATCCTGTGCTGGTGACGCCCGGCCGCAAAAAATAATCTCCGACTCCAACTCCATCGATGCGCCTGAGTATCGGCCCGCTGATCGGCTGGCAGCCAGGGCATTGTGGCGGTTTTGGCCACGGCCAGCAGGGCAGCATTGGGCCTTACGTACCTAACCTCAGCCGAAGATTTGGAAGAATCGCGAGTTCCGGTGTGCGAAAGCGGCTCTGAAAGCGTCGACAAGTCGGGCAAAAAACGAGGTGACAACGTTGATGTGCAAGTTGAAGCCACGGGACAAACTTGAAGCTTTGATAAGCTTTGTGCTGTTGGGGCTGGTCCAGCCCATTCGATTTGGGGCTCAGCTCAGCTCCCTTCCTCATCATCCCCAATCCAGCAACCCGGAACACTTGCACTGTTGAGAGAAAATGAACCAATGGAGGCCCAAAACATGACTTCTGAGACATCAACTAAGAGTCGCAATCTGATCACCTCCGCGTTCTGCCGAAATCGGCCCTAAAGGGATTTTTAATAAAAAGAAACACTGGGGGGGGGGCAAATGCAACAAATAGTTCCCCGAAGGATGCCAAACTTTTCTGAAACAACACCTGGCAATTAGCAGTTTGGCTGGCTGTTTGAGAGTGGATCTGAAAATGCATCACAAAATGCCGGCAATGAAGGAACAAGCAAATCCATTTCGCAAAGACACTACGCATCAGCATTGATGATGATATGCTTCTTGCTCAGCTTCTCGATGTCCTGGCTCAAAGATCTCAAAGGACAAATGCCACACTGAACCCATCAGCATCCTTTGCCCAAAGTGAACCAGGTGAATTAAACTGCAAGTCCAACCAAACCTGCATGGAAAGGCTCCACGGCCAAACCCAGGTGCTCTGCTTTGAAAAAGGTCATGGTTCTCCAGCTAGTCTATGGCACCTAATAATAAGCGTCGAGAAGTAATGGAACCATCCACACACTTCTGACTGCTGTGAATAGGAAATCCTAACATCAGGCATATATAGAAAATTGAAAAGTAGCCGAAGGTAGCCTCAAAGTTCCAACTGGCAATCAAATCCCTTGGACCTTCATCTCTTCCAAATAGATCCCAAAGGAAGTAACGGGCTCATGTGCTCGTCCCCACGGCACAAGCAGCGGCACAAACAGCTCCAGCCTTCTCAATCTGGGACAGCTCCGCTTCGTGGCGCTCCTGTCGGCGTGTTTCTTTTTTCTCACTAAGAACTTCATTCAAACCGCCAAGAGTTCGCAGACTTCGGGCTCCTCGATTTTATACTATACATTACTATACGCTATGTATGCAAGTATGTATGCATCCAGAACCTCCTGGAGTTCCAGAATTCCAACCGGAAGACGACCGATGAAAACGTGGGCGAGCTGCGGGCTCGACTGGCCGGACTGGTGTGGGGTCCCCGTTTCGCAGGCCACACAGGTCCCCAGAGCTTGGAAGTTGGGTGTAAGAAACTCAACACAACATACCAAACAACTTGGATATCACAACATTCTTTCGAACGTTAACAATATATGCATAATTATGCATACACCTCTGAATGTTGTGTTGTCTCTGTTTGTCCTCACACCTCTCAGATCTCATGGAAGGGGGCGTTCTTGGTCTACCGGCGAAATGCACAAATTTTCTTTCTAGGGGTACTGGTCCATATATGTTCAAAGAAGGACTGGGCGACCAAAGCTGCTGAAGGTCCGGAACCACGCATGATGCCCCTTTAGGGTCACCCTACTCTTTGAGGGTACCCGGCCAGGGAGTCTTCAGATCGCTTCAGCATCTCAGTATGACTCGATCTTGACGTTTCCGCTGCGGTCGGAGGCCGCAGACCCACCGCGCGTTGCGCTCCGTGATCGGACGAAGTACGAAGTGAGTGGATGGTTTTTTCCACGCCCAATCGGCTCAAAAGGACTACCAGGAAATCAACCATTACCCAAACACTCCATGTATGCCATATATATGCCTACATTGAAATGCATAACCAATGCCCCATACAATATTGGTTCCCAAGGTGCTTTTATCCTTTAGCCAAGCTCCAGTTCTGTTCTGTAGGCTGGCCATGTGTGGTTTTGGGCACTAAAAGAACACGTTAGAACCTTATGCACCATCCCTTCCTCAGATCTCCTTGCGTTTCATCTTCCCCATGGTGTCCAGCTTGGTAATGTGCGTGGCCCCCTCCACGCAGGAGGCTGTGGTGCGCCAACGGTTCTTCGGAGTGACCAATGAGGGGAGGTGCAAAAGTGTGATCCTAAAACAACAAAAAGGACTAACATAACGTATGACAGGAAGTAATATGCAGTTAAGTTGTATCAATCCTATCAATCCTACTAGCAGTCCTTGCGTTGATCTTGCGTTTATATGTAACTATAAATCCTACATACCAGCAACGAGGCCCATGCGATTATGGATGGGGTCCCCAGGTCCTGTTCGCGCGCGGGTTCGAAGGTACCGTTGGTAGAGTGTTGATGTCATATAGGTCTCCAAAGAATCATTTCACTCCCGAAAACTAATTGTCTTCGTAGTGGAAAACCACCTATTTGTAGTGGAAAATGATCTTCCAAGGGGCCATTCTCCACTTGCATGTTAGTCTTCCAGGGTGTAGTTTTGGTATGTTTTTGTTCAAGCAAAAAGCGGACAATCCATGTCACCTCTTCTTAAGTGGACGAAGTCCGATATACACTCTGACGACATGGAAGCGCACAATGCTCCCTGGGAAGTCTACTTTCATCTACTTTCCTTTAAACAAGGGTTGTCCACTTCCATGTTACACATGTGATGTGTTCGTCGGAGTGCACATCAAATCTCTGAAGCCCACGCTCCAACACAAACAAAAAGGACCTCCGGATCCAACCAGCTACCTCCGCGCTGCTCGAAACCGGAACTTCTTCGGTCCGCGCGACTCCTCGCGCCCCGCGGCGTCTCGTCTTGGCTGGTCCACCCATCTCGGGCCTGGTAGGCCGTGTTCACCTGCCGCTTCGCGCCGCGGGGAGA